ACGCTTCACACAAACATACTTTTGAATCTCATTTCACTGTGTCTCATGAAGTACGAGACCATACTAATTCTCTAGTACCTTTTGGTGTGAAGGCTTCTCCATCAGACAGGAAAACTTTCCTCCACCAGTACTCAGTGAATAATCTAAGATCTTTACCTTCTATAATTATATGCTTAAACATACTGACAAATTGTGCTCTAGCAAAACTAAAAATACTGTGCCTTAACAACACTAAAATGTGCTCATAATGCTGAAAAACTGTGCTCTTGTAATACTTACTTTAAAGTTCGTACAATACACTCTCTTAAATCCTTAATGTCATGTGCTTAAAAAATATACTAAAAGGTGTATATGACTAAGAAAAACTGTGTTTATAATACTAAAAAGAACTGTGCTCCAAAAACTATGTTCTAACAATATTGAGGAAACTGTTAGCCACAACAGCTCCTGATGTTACCATTGTTACCCGCAGAAAACAGCATCAACCTTGTTTTCTTTCCAAGGTTTCATTCATCATGCAGGCAGCTACGAACACCTGTGTACAAAAAAAACCTTAACATATGAAACAACTTTTGCAAATGAACTGAGGGGGTTGCCACCTGTTCTTTCCCCGTTTCTGTCTTGCAAAAGTGTTGTACAAATTCTTAAATCACTGACCTCTATACCAAAGACATAGTATTGTCTGGCAATTTGGTAGTAGTCTTCAAAGTATACAAGTAATTCACCCTTTTAAAGTTTTTCTAGTTTGGATACGATATAGAATTTTACCTCAAAAATTGGTATGTCACAATCACATATAATTTTGGGTAGACTCGTAACCCAAAAGGTTTCTGTCATATGCCGATTCCAAATAAATCTTGCTACCCGCTGTAACACTACTGGGATGAAACACATACAAAGACGAGCACCGCAAGATAATCAATGTCTGATGTAGAATCCCCAAACCACACCAGTCTGTCCGATTTTCACAAACATCACTGGTGTGACATGAACAGCACAGAAAACAAACCATTGTATACAGTGACAACCATTAGACCTCAGGATGTTAAACCACTATACAAATGCCCCAAAAGGAACACTGTGATCTGCAAAAATAAAAAATTAGACAATTTAGCAATGATCAATTAGTGAAACAAATTTATAATATAAAACCTGCTCTACTTGCTGGATGGTTTGAACTGCTCTTTTAGTCAGTTCCCTTGGTTTCCGAGGATTGTCAGAATGTTTGAGTAGGTCAAATAGAGGTGCCAGCTGGGTGTTTGCCAATTCCAAATAGGACCTAATCCAATTGAAAGACCCTCATAGCTTTTGTACATCAGTAAGAATTCTTGACATCAATATCCAATTGAACTGGCTGAGGAATAACTGCTTTCTGTGTAATTTTTGAACCCTAAATACTTCCAGGGTTCCTCTCGCTGCACCTTCTCAGGAGCAACTACTAGGCCAAAGGATTGTAGACTCTTTCTGGTTTCAGTTTCCAACACACTCAACAGATCCTCAGTGGCCACAACCAGCAAAAATATTACCTGTATAATGACAACAAAAGACAACCAGAAAAATTACAGGAGATAATGTTGGAATCATAAACCACTGACAAATTATAGGAATATTTTCATTTCCTGGGAGAGGGTTTTCTATGTATAACACCTGTAAGGTTCTGCACGCTTAATAGATGGAACTGAAAATGCGATTTTCTCTTCTCTATAACTGGGGTCTAACTGGATTGTGAAAAAACAACCTGTGAAATGAATAATAACAATGGGTTATTCAGTAGAAAGCATAGAGGGGGTCAGTAAACCAATGCTGACATGGTAACCATGACCGCACCACCCGTCCGAGATCATGCAACAGTCTTCACTTTCCAGATTTTTTCTTTATGACAAAAACTGAGGTATTCCAAAGACTGTGAGATGGTTCAATGTGATCAGCTTCAAGCTGCTCCTTAACAAGCTGTTGCAGGGCCAACAGCTGTTCTGAAGGTATGAGTCACTGCTGAAATCACACAGGATCTATATATTCTAAAAGAAAATTCTGAGCAGTACCTCCTAGTCTCACAACCCAAACCCCTGGCGTGTCCACAGGCCAGAAGGCTGGCCAGGATGTCCGTGCAATGATAGTTACGTCAGGTCCCGAATGCAGGAGTTCGTCTGCTTGGACAACTGACAGCAAGCTTCAATTATCGTAGAGAGTGCAGGTCAGCTGTGGATGTTGTGCAGAGATTGGCACTGACCAAAAGACTTCTGGTGCATCAGTAGAACCAAATCCTCCATCCCGACGTTCACGAGGCTCTGCTTGGGGAACACAACTCAGAAAAGATACAAATTGAGCTATTCGTGTCCCTTTAGGAATTGTCAGTGGAGGATAAGGTGTGGAGACCATAGCACAAATCTGCCTCGTACAGTTAGCATCAATGATTGCAACATAAACAAAAAATCCCAAAATCTCACAATTGTGTTACTAGAATGGTTGATTAACAAGGTACTTAACCCATGTTGCCTTCGTACAATGCTAAACATCCACCAGTCAGATTATGTGATCAATACATCTGGTATAGAACAAGTAGCAGTCACAAGCATTGAGGATATTTTTCTGAAAACACAGCTGCCACAGGCAGGGCACATCCCAAGGATGAAGGACTAGATGTTTCACGATGAATATTGCCACCAGCTGCCGTATGAAAGAAGCCCTGAAAAGAAGACACAAGGACTCCCTGAAACGACATCGCAGCCCTGGCCACACTGATCAACATAACTGGTGCACTCTGGTCTCCAGTCAGGAGGCCTAGAGACACACTATTTGTAACGTTGTTGATGCTTCTGAGAAAGGACGCAGGATGGCCCTGACAGTCTGCAGGGCCCCCCCGCAACAGGCTGATCAAGCAGGGCAGCAACATCGACAAACCTTGATTTAAACCCTCGAAAACACAGAAAAGGTCAAAGGACTCTGCCTTCTGCACGGCCCACACAGCTACAGCTCATGGACAGCATGACACATGAAAAAGGAACAGCACCGGGGGAAAGGCTCCACCTGAGATTTAACCTCTATAAGCCTCTGAAACAAGGCTGAAATAGAACACCAAATTTGTGTAAGAATCTCTTATTTAACTTCAGTCCTAATTATATGGCTAGTCAGACAGGGCTAGTCTTGAAGACAGGGCTTAGTTTTAGCTTTTACCTTTAACACTGCTGCAAGAACAACTTGGCAGCACACAATTCAGGAGAGTTTGTCTCCAAATCTTGGCTAAATCCATAATACAAATATAATCATATTATAACTTTCTATGCTGGAGAAAAATGCAAGTTGTGAGTCCAACTCTGATCCTTGCTTGCTAGCAATATAATACCACATACAAAAAGAATAAGTGGAAAGACCTTGTCGGTGACAGAGATTTCCCCAACTCCGGAGTAGTAGATTCAGGGATCTAGAGAGATATTTTACCTAAGAATTAAGGAAATCCCCAACCTGCTAGCTTTCCACTCATCCTACTTGCAGATTTGTAGTTTTTGTAAGGTAATTTCTACTCTCTCCCTAGATCTGAGAAACTACTGGAGGTGGTTTGAGTCCCACCCAGGTGCTAAGCAACAAATGATCTCTATTGTGTGAACCTTTTGTCTCCTCCTGCTAAGGTTGAACACGAGATTTGGGCAGAAGGTTTTTACAGGGGTAAAATGTAACTAAAAACAAGGCAATTCACTAAAGCTTTTATATAAAGATTCATTCCCTGGGAAACTCTTAAAATTTCTTGCATGCTAACTTTTAGTAAAACACAATCTTTCAATTTTAAGTCATCTACAAGTGAGTAGAAGGACTGAAGAGAGAGATTCTGCTTTCTGTTCTCAATTACTGTCATGTCCGGATTCTGCAGGGCTACTCCCCCGCAAGCCAGTCACCGCCGAGTTGCTGTTCCCCGGGCCGCCCCTCACGCCGTGCAGCTCCCGGGGATCCCCACAGAAGTCTGGTTGGCTCTGCAGAAGTAGCTGTCGGCGTTGCCTCTGTCGCTGAGGTCTCTCTGTCGCCTCTTGCTGTGGCTGCCAGCGCCGCCTCCCCCACGGCCGAGCTCGGCGCAGCGGCAGCCCCAGCGCGCAGCTCCGAGCCCTGCCGTGCGGCCCCAGCGCCGGCACACCGGACTCTGGCAGCTGTTTGAATAATCCTGGAAACGCGTGTCCTCTTTTTTGTTGTTTTTTCTTTCGTTTTTTTTTTTTTTTTCGAAAACAGCGTCCGTTGCCAAGGCAGCGAGCCACAGTGGCTGTCTTCTGGGTTTCATTGAGGCCTCAGGCGCCAGCGATGCAGCGCCATCTAGTGACGCGGAGGTTCCTAGCAGCGTCGTTCCAGGTGACACATGCGCAGTAGCAGGCACAGTGAAGAGTGACACTGCCGACTGCGCAGCCGCAGTAGAGAGCGGTGCCGCTGGCACGGTTCCAACTTTAGTCTCCGCCTCTACTGATTTTCCTGCAACCTCTACACGTCCTGCTGCTACATACACGGTGCTAAACAGAGGTGATCCCGCTGCTGTTAAGCTTCCTAGCATTCGCAACTTCGCAGCTGCAGGCACGGGGATCTCCCCTACAACGGACCGACCGGGGCAGGGACTTGCCGTAGTCCCGCCGTCTCCCGACAGAGCTGTTTGAACATTTATGAGTTCCCGTCGCTCAGAACTTAAGTCTTGTAGCGACTCAACTGCCAGACGCCCAACCATAGTACACCTTCTAGCGTCTCCTGATCCCGTAGAGATCTCGTCCCAAAACAATGCCTTTATAGCGTCCCTTGTGGACACCTGAAAGGCGGTGTGAGCAGTGGGAAGTAGATTCCTCGCTCTCACCCAGTCCATTAACCCCTTAGGGGCTTTTTCATCAGAAACAGGCTCTCCTAGAGAGAATATATATCGGAGGAGCGTTTCCACGGCCTCATCCTCTTTGGATGCCGCGGGCCCCATGCTCTCTCCCTCGATCGACTCACCGGGTCAGGGTAAGATTTCCTCGGTGTCGTGCGCACGGCCTTTACTACAGCGCCGGGGACAGCGCTGCCTTCACGACCGCTTCCCTCAGCTCCTTCGTCCGCCTTACGTCCCTGCAGAACTCGGCGAAGTAGGACTCCCTGTTAAACGGGCGCCAGATATCGGCGGAGAGGCTCGGACAGAATTGCACACAAATCAATATGATTGGCAAAAATGTCCCCTTTATTAGAGGAAAGGCAACTTATATGCTGCCTGTGGCACAGAGACATGTGATTCTTCCCCAGGTTACATTGGATACATAAGGAAAACATACTGTGGTGTACAGTACTAATTGGATAACAGCAGGTGTCCATAAAACTTGTTTTCCTGACAGAACAACTCCACCTTCACCTTGGCACAAGGCCTGCAGTCATATTAGTGGTGCAGTATCTTTTTACTGTCTGCACCAAGCCATGCCAAGGTGAAGGTCTCAGAAATGCAATAGAAATTGTTCACACAATTTCTGTCCTCCGACAGGCAGTGTTCTTGTCCAGCCCCCGCAAGAGACCACCGAAGGAGGGAGCCCCTTCGGGTAGAAAGACTTACCCAAGGGCGCCCAGGGGGTCCCGTCCTCCAAGGGTCTCCGCAACCGGGTGGAGAAGGTGTGCTGCCGTGGTCGTCAAATGAATCCGAAAAATCGGTCTGAGAAACTGCTCAGAGACTTTTTTTTATCTTTAAGCAGCAAGGTATTTGTTTATTCAACGTTGGGAGCAAGCCAGCTCGCGCTGGACAAACTTGCTCAAAGGTTTCACACAAAATCAGCATTTTTATACAATTTTCAGATGTAATTAAATGCATATTCAAATGATTACAACATCTATCTATGCATATTAATAATAGGCGGAGTATAGGTGGAGCTCAGGCGGGGCTTGGGGCGGTACTTCTCTTGGTTCCCCATTTCGGAGGGGAGTTCCCATCTTCCTCCATGGGACAGGGGGCTTCAACTCATCTTCCTCAGCTTGACCCTTCTTCTTTTCTATTGTTCTTGACCCCCTCGCTGAAGTTTGGAGAAAGCCTTGGCTCCTAGCCTATTTCTCCTATTCAAATGTCTATCTGATCCTGTTGTGTTTCTAATTTATTACCTCTAGGTCTATTACATGTTCTTGTACTTTTCTTTTAAGCTTTGGTCCAGTAAGTAGAACAGAACAAGCACAGATCATTTTAGATATTGGTAACTTGTTTGCAGGTCCAAATTTCTTGGTTAACTCTTTTGGGTCTAACCTCCTGTTTCACTTTCGGTGTCTGTGTCGGTGTCCAGGGGTTCTCCGGCTCTCATAGCTGCTCCGGCGGCTTGGGAGCGATGGTAGATGGTGGCAGGGGGGTCCTTTGGTGCGGTACGGGATCCTAGCGCTGCTCCAGCGGTAGCGGCGGCAATGTGGTGGAAGGTTCCTTCAGGGTCTGCATGGCTTCTGGTGGGTTTCTCATTGGTGTGGAGGTTTCACGCGGTGGTCATAGGCATGTATGGGTCGGCAGGGGGTGGTTGTGGGGCTCTCCCGGTTTGCTGGGCGGTGTGGGGGCTCCGGGTGCCGGTGGGGTCTCGCGGCAGCTCACGAGGTAAACAGAGAAGCTCTGAGCCCCCCTTGGTGGGGGTTGGGGGTTGCAGTGTTAATAATTCACTCAGCTTTGCTGTTTCGCTGCTCGCTTCTGCCTGTGTGGTCCCCAGCTCCTCTCTTCGCCGCCTGCCATTCCATTTCTCTTTCTTCTTTTCTTCTTTCTTCTTTGTTCCTGTGCACTTTTCCCTAATATTTTTGAGCTCACTATATTAACTTTCTGTTTCTCATATGTGACTGAGACAACGGTTTTACAGATGTCTAAGTTTTTTTCAGTGAAAATTCCCATCTCCAGACAATCGAGACAATAAACGGAATTACCGATTTTTCTGCCTGATTCAGGATATGCTAAACTAACCTAATATAGGTTCTAAGTTCAAGTTCGGTGCGCCATATGTAGCATTGCGGTCTTTATATGATAAAGAATGATGTACGCTCTTCTGAGGTGGAAATCAAAGAGGTTTATTTCAAATGCCGCGCTTCCTTTTATTCCCTAAAACCATGTGACCTTCTAACCAATGGGGTTGTCTGTCCCTGTGCATGTCCCTTGATTCCCCTCCCCCTGGGACACGCCTCCTACATTGGGTGAGACCTTATCTAGGCCTCTCCTCCTCCCAGTTAGCACCTCTATTTGAGCTCTTAAAGGGTGATACTGACCCATCTACACCTCGTCATTTGATGCAAGACGCAAAAAGGGTTATTGAGTTGGTGGAGCAAGGAATTCAGAATAAACATGTATGGTGCATCGATTTCTCTGTTGAAGTTCAAGTTTTGATGAATTGATCCCTACTGCCATGATTGTTCAGTGGAATGAGAAGTGGGACAATCCCCTTCATGTACTGGAATGGGCCTTTTTGTCGTTCCGTAGCAAGAAAACTGCCCCAGGTTTGTTTGAGCTATTGGTTCAAGTAATCATTAAGGTACGACTGCGTTGCACTGAATTGTTGGCAAGAGACCCAGCACACATTGTTGTGCCAGTCCAAGTTGAGTACTTTGAGTGGTGTCTGACCAACAGCTTGGCGCTGCAGGCAGCGTTGATGAATTTTACTGGGCAAATTACTTATCATCTCCCTTCTCATCCATTGTTGAAACTGGCAAGTCAAATATCATTTGCTCAAAACCAACTCAGTTCACAGGTCCCCGTGTCCGGTCCCACCGTTTTTACGGATGGATTAGGAAAAACAGGAAAAGTTGCCATGGTGTGGTATGCTAATTCACAATGGCATCACATTGTAGAGCGACAAGAAGGCTCTCCACAGGTTGTGGAACTGCGTGCTGTTTTGTTAGCCTTTCAACATTTTAATGATGCTGTAAATATTGTTACTGATTCTGCTTATGTATCTGATTTGGTTCAAAGACTTGACAAGGATGTTTTAGGGGATGTATCTAATGCCCTTTTGTTTGGTGTTATGAAGCTTTTATGGTTGACCATTCAGAAACGCTCGCATCCTTATTATATTCTACATATGAGGAGTCATACTTCTCTTCCAGGATTTTTCATCGAAGGTAATGCACGAGCAGACCAATTGGTTTCTGCACTAGCATTAGGTCCAGTTCCAAATCTGCATCAACAGGCTGTTGAATCCCACCGTTTTTCCATCAAGGTTTTCGAGCCCTGCTGAAACAATTTCAACTTTTAGCAGGTGATGCACGATCCATTGTTGCTTCCTGCCCCAATTGCCAAGATTATCATGTTCCTGTTTTTTATGGCACCAACCCACGAGGGTTCCAGGCCCTGCAAATTTGGCAATCTGATGTAACCCACATTCAAGAATTTGGCCATCTTAAATATGATCATGTTTCTATTGATACCTTTTCACAGGTCATCGTTGCTACCGCCCATACTGGCGAGACCGTTCAAGATGTGATCCGCCACTGGCAACGGGCGTTCACTTTATGCGGAGTTCCCAGTCAACTTAAGACCGACAATGGCCCAGTTTATAAATCAAATAGGATTTCACTGTTTCTGCAGCAATGGGGTGTTACGCATGTTACGGGCATCCCTCATTCTCCTACAGGTCAAAGTATTGTTGAAGGTGCTCATGGCACTCTCAAACATTTCCTTCAAAAACAGAAAGGGGGAATGACAGGTGAATCCCCTGAGGCAACATTAAATAAGGTAACAAATGTGCTTAACTTTTTGCATATTGCAGAAGGTTTTCAGGAACCTCCCATAGTTCACCATTTCGCATCTTTGACACGAAATTCAACTGTTTCCTCCAGGGCCAAAGTGCAGGTAAAAAACTTGCAGACAGGGCAATGGGACACTGTTGGGGAATTATTAACTTGGGGCAGAGGTTATGCTTGTGTCTCCACAGATGAAGGGCCATGCTGGGTTTCTGCACGGTGTGTGCGTCCTGTTCTGCATGGAGATGATCACTGCTGATGCATCCTACGAAGAGGAGTTGGACCGAATTAGTCCATGGAATAACTGCAATATCTGGGTCACCCTGATGAAGGCCTTGAACCAAACCACCTTTTGTGCCTTGCTTGCACAACCCGAGCAGCCTTTTCATACCTGCCTCGTAGGGGTTCCGTTAAATGGCAGTGAGGTCAGCCTTATAGCGGTCGGTCTTAGAGCCCTAACGAAGTCTTTTTGCAAAGTTATGTGACAGTGTACGGACAATTGGGATTTGTGGGATCATTCTCTCCCACATGCTTTGCCACCTCAAGAATTAGACATTTTAGGGAGTTTAATGGCTGAGAGCTGTGTTTTCTTTAACCATAGGTTTGATTATGAGTTATATGACGATGATACAACGGTTCCACAAGATGTATCCCCTAACGTACCTTTCTATCAGAATCATTCTAATTGGTGACAACACCTAGGGTGCGATAAAATTGATCCTGCCCCAGGGGTCAGTGTTGTGAGACAATTGCCCTCTGGTCTGTTTCCCATATGTGGAGACAGAGCCTGGCCAGGAATTCCCGAAAAAGTAACAGGGGGACCTTGTACCATAGGTCGTCTAGGACTGTTAACACCTTCTCACTAAGTGCTTCTTAACCACACCCATCTATTTAGCCACTCTTGTGTTAAACGTGCCTTAACTATTAATTCTAAGTGTGACAATTATGTTAACCTGTGGAGTCATGGGGAAATAGTAGCTGTCTCCTTTTTTGTGCTTCAAGCAGTTGCCGCGAAAGCATTAGGGACTTTGAACAAGTTAGCCTGCTGGGTTACAAAACAAGTCAAACAAACATCTCAAATTTTATATCAATTAGCCACAGATGTTGATAGTGTTCGTCATGCTACTTTACAAAATAGAGCTGCTATTGATTTTCTGCTTTTGGTTCATGGACATGGATGTCAGGAGTTTGAAGGAATGTGTTGTATGAATTTATCTGACCATTCTGAATTGATTTACAAACAGATTATGAGGTTACAGGAAGAAACTTGAAAGGTTACTCGGGACACAGGGTTTTTTGGATTAGATAATGTGTTTAAGGGATGGGGGTTACCGATATGGCTTCTTTCTTGCCTAAAGACAGGACTTGTCTCAGCCATGAGATTGTGTTCCTGTGTTTGAAATTAACCTATCTGTAAAGAATATCTGTGCCTAAGAAATGTATAAAAGGAGCTGTAAAAGTGCAAGCTTACTCTCTTCTCTTCAATAAACCTTTCTAGTGGATATTCAGTGTCATGTCCGTTCCAACAGCGACAGATCTTAATTGCTTTAAATATGTGCTATGAAAAAAGAGATCATATTTTTGCAGATGATGCCACAGGCTTACCTGATAATAACAATAGGTTAGTAAGCTTTAGAAAGACTTCAGTCAACATACCTAGCATCAGACATGCCAGAGAATTTCACCTGGGTATATATAAAGAGGAGCCAAGAATTATCTGACCAAGCCAACTTGAGTTTTAATACATAAAATCTGTGAGACTGAAGCTGTTGCTGAGAAAGCTTTAGCAGCAGTCTAGAACTGCTATGAATGAAAGCCTTTTCTGTTAAGAATAGGTACTTAACACATTGTCCAATAATTGCAGAGTAGGAGATGAGTTAAACTAGAAAAAACTAATTTTGCCACTATGGTCAAACTTAATAGCAATTCCTAATCTATTCAGCATAAATACTATATGATCTAAAAATGCTTGGAATGGCATCTGATGATATGAAGGAATAAAATGTAAAGATAAAAGCAAGCATGTTGGTCAGCACTTGTTTCATATTCCCAGTTTTCTATTGTGGTTCCGCACTGATCCTAGGTAATCAGATAACAGCTCCAAGAAGGTTTAATTAAATATATTGCAAAGCAAATAGGTGAAAAACCTGTATCTATCACTATATTAAATGGAAAGGACAACAGGAGTCATCTATTGCTTCAGTAGTGAATCCAAGTTTTCATAAGGTAGCCCAGTCTAGCTACAAATACACTTCAACATTTGTAGATATTTTGAGATATCAGAACACAAACAAAACATCACCCCCCCTCCCACAACAAACAAACAACCCACACCCACCCACAAATTGCCTTTTATTCTGGAATGGACAATGAAGCTAAATAAATACTGCTGTGAATATTCACAGAAATAGTGACCCCTACATCTTCTTTGAAGAACAATCAGAAAACATAGTGTGAGACTGAAATAAATTATCAATGGTTTGAAACAACTGAAGTATGGGGGGGGACACAGGGCAAGTTCTGCCAAGGTGGGATAGTGCACTGTCCCATATCCCCCTGCCCCTGGAGCCTCTAGTCCAGCCCAGAATGGTTATTAGCCACTGGCACACCTGAAACCCCACACCACATCCCCTGGAGCCTCTAGTCCAGCCCAGAATGGCTGTTAGCCATTGGCACACCCGAAACCCCACACCACATCCCCTGGAGCCCCTAACCCAGATCCCAAATGGCTGGTAGACCAGAAGCCCCACCTGGAGGGGGGTGGTCACAGGAGTCCAGAGCAAATAAAATCAATATCACGAGGTTCCCCACAGGTCGTGGTCCTATTGTTCTTGGATTTATGGGAGTTGGTTCTATGCTGGATCTAAGATGGTAGCTATAATTCTCTTTCTCTCTCTCTTTACTTCTTCTCCTATTTTCCTTTTCTTGATATTTGGGTAACTTAAACCTGAATGGGTTGGAATTTGCTAAGTCAGTGCTTTGAGAAATGCCTTATATCGATTGAATGTTTGATTTAAACTTTTGCCAATTTCCCTTATTTTCTAAAGTTTGCCAGTGTGTGTTATTTTGACCTCCTGAAAACATCGTGTTTTTCCCATGCATGGTCTCAGGGTATAAAAGAACCTAAGGACCCTTTGTTAGACACCAAATCAGTTATTATTGGGTCAGAACCACCTTGTGGGGAGTGTATGTGTGTGTGTGGAGGGGGAAGGGATGGGTAAAACCTCACGGAGGTGGGGTGGCATTGTATCCCTCATGGCAGGCCCCTGGAGCCTACATGGGGAAGCCCCGGAGTAGGTGTAAGTCACAAACAGCCTGGGAAAACTATAACACACCACACCTCCTGCAGCCCCTAATCCAGCTCAGATTGGCAGGGGCAGTGAGAACACTGCCCCTCACCCTGGTCTTGAACCCCAGAGTGGCTGGTGGGTCAAAGACCCCACCTGGAGGGGTTGACCATAGGGACCAGAGCAGATAAAACCATAGGCACGTGTTTGCCTCATGTCGTGGCCCTGCCACTGGACTTGTGAGAGTTGGTCTTCTATAAGGTTTCAGTGGTAGCTCTCTCTCCTTCTTTCTCCTTCTTTCTTCTTGTTCCCCCCGCTTCTCTTTCTTTGCTCCTTTCTTGATGCTTAGGGTGGTTTGGAGCTGGAGGGATTGGATCTTGACTTAAGTGTTGTGGATTTGATGGATTTTGACTTAAGGGTCATGGATTAATAGTATATGCTGAGTCAGTATTGTGGTGGAACATTTTTGTCTAGCTTGTGTGGTGTCCTTTTGAACTTTGGCCAAGTTCCCTTATTTACTCCCCTAAATAAAGAAAGAAATCCCTTGGGAACAAGCCCGTGGCTTATTCTCTTGATGCTATCTCAAGGTATTAAAGAACTCTATATCTATATAATAGAGTAAAACTCCTAGCCAAGCCCGTGAGGTGGCAGCTCCCAGGGCTTGGAGTCTAACATCCTTTAATAAATCTGTTGTGTGGGTTTTGGGGTCTTACCCTTTTGGCATAAAACCCCTTTGATGAGCTCATGGGGCCAGCCTGGGGTCTTACACACAGCAGCACTGATTCCCGATTTGTGTACTGTCTTTTTGAAAGGTCCTTCAGTGGGCCTTGCCTCAGGGAAGCACTTTCTAAAGAAGGATTGACTCCAGGAGTGAATATACTCCTTGAACATAACCTCACATTTGTTCTGAAGCAACTTGCATAAATACACAAACTTCATTTGAAGGGTTTCAACTGGAGGATGTAAAACTTCTCTTTTCTATTCACCATATCAAAAGAAGCTCCCAGAATTGAAGATAGAAGAGTCAGAAGAGGGGAGAATGAAAAAAACCAATCTGACCAACCACAAAAAGACAGAATAAAAACTCCACGAAAATACTGTTTAGCTTTTGACCTTCATTCATTGACCTTGTTTTCTCAACTATGAGTATAACTATGGTTTGTAAAGACAAATTTCTCCCCGCATATAGCCTAGCATTTTTTTCCTAAGCAAAACTTAAGAGCAAAGAGGTTTGTCTTCATCATGAAAGAGAAATATATTTCTACTGTAGTAATGTTGCAGACAATACAGTAGGAAATAACTGATATAACAAACCTTTTGCTGAAAAAAACCCACCCAAACAAAAAAAAGCCCCTCAAGTGATAAACCCTAACTGCTTCAAATTGATCACAGTTGTCTTCCACACCGGAAGTGGAAAAGGGAGAACTAAAGGGACTGCTTACTCCTTTGCACCTTGGCTTCAATTCTACTGCTCTTATATATACACAAACAGACTTGCATTTGACTTTTAGAGTAGTACACTACTTTTTTTTGTTTGCTCAATTTCATAATGGTACTAAGAAAAAAGTACAGCTTGCTCCGCTAATCATGTAATGCATAAACCCCCATAAATATTTCCTCATTTACAGTTTTGCTTCCTCCACTGCTCCCAAATGTATGGAGACATCCTTGTCTCAAAAAGAAACATAATGCTCCCTGCATACCTTTCCTTGTCTTGTAGGGTTTTTTGGTAAAAAAACAAAACAACACTTTTCCCATTATCTGAAGCCTCTCCACTTTCTCTTCCCGATCTTCAAGTACTTCATTTAAATATGCAAAAATTCTCATCTTTCCAACAAGAAATACTTTCATAAGACACTTTCACCTACACTTTATGTGTTTCAGAAATATAACCCACTGACTTCATGCATTGCTCATTTCTCTTTTGAGGCATCCAGTTAAAGCAGGGCATGGAAGCATATGAGCTGGATATTCTTGAATGTTAGGCACTTGCATAACTCCAACAATTTTCATGCTGATTAAGATACAAAAAACACTCCCTCCTTCCTTTTACCTAATAAATTTTGAATTTCTAATTACCCATAATCAGAAATCTCTCTATATTACTTCATTTAATTAGAGCTGTTAACCCCATGCTATAGTACTGACCTACAGAAGGAATTGTGTGATGTGACTACCTCTAGTAGCCTGGATCTTGAATTTGTGGCCCAGAAATCCACTCTAGCCTGTGGCACAAAGAAGTAGACTTTCACTTGATTTTTTTTCTTATTTTTTTTCCCCAACGGTTCACCAGCAGGAACTATATATGACCATATCTTCTTTCCTTCACTTTCCACCATCACCTGTCATGTACTCTATTCTTACTTAGATAAAAAAAAATCTCAAGAAGAAAAAAACAAAGTATCTTAGTATTTGTAATTAAAATATATTATTATATAAAAAAGTAGTGCTCATGAGCTTCCCTCTTTCATTCAGGACTATGATGATATATTAAAAAAAACCTAAAAAAATTTTTCTTCTTTTAAAACTACTGTCTCACCTTCAGCAGTTTCACTGCACACATCAAATTATTATCAACAGGATTAGAGAAGAGCACATTTAGTAATTCCCGAAGGCCTTCTTGAAGAATTTCTGCTCGTTTAACCTGTCCATTTGTTCCTTTAATCTGCAAAATATATTAAAAAAAACCAAAACAAAACTACATTTAAAAGACTTAAGTTTTAGAAATTCATTTAGTCTCATTTTCTCTCTTGAATGCTGTGTGATCTGGTTTGTGATTAACATAGTTGAGTTCTTCAGGTGAAAGAACATGTCAAATACTGTAACTATTTCTAGAACACAGAGTAGTATCCTTGCAATTCTGACATATACATAATGATGTTCGTCTATCATTTTGTTTCTTTCCTAATAAATTGCTAAGAAAAGCTGCAAAATGCCTGGTAAGTAGTCCACATCATTCCAAATTCTCATAATCCCATGCTCTTTCCCATCCTACATTATGTATTCTCTGCAGTTATAGAGTAGCTTACTTCTAGTAGGTACTCTTTATATATTTAAAAATTAGAAAAAATGCTTTAAAAATAAATGGTACTCCAATTTGGGCAACTTCCCCTCCCCTAAACCCTTTGGAAAACTTTCTTTTTACTTCTAGCATGGGAAAATTAGATTTCAAGGTACACTTATAAACAAAAATGGAAGATTCAGAGTTTTCTTTCCTCATGCCAGCAGAACATTTTAATAGTGTCTGCTTAAATCAAACCTTTGAAATAATTCAGAGAAAAATATATTTTAAGGACACTATAGCAGTCAGTGAACTTAATGAACTCATGGGTATAAGAGTCAAAGACTTTTATGTGAAGATACATTTTTTTTTATATATCAGAAAAAAAAAATTATCTAAATACAAGATTTCATGCTTCATCCATAAGCCAAGGACTCAAACTTCAGAAGAAATATCTTTCAAGGTCTGCATTTTTAATTGCATATTTTGAAGATTCCCATGCCTTCCTCGAGCATTTGATAATAGCTCCTATTAGTGGTTGAATACTGAATTACATGGGTTATTGATACGGATCTGCTTCTATGTTGGCTAAGTGTAGTAATCTGGTGGTTTTACCAGACAAAAGAAAATACCAAAAGCTTAATTCCAAAGGTGGTTTATGGTTGGTTCTTTTTATGAATTCTTATACTTCTTTTTTAATCTTTATTCATTTCTCTTCTGATGATCTTGTCCTTTTTTGTTTATCTGTTTCTTAGACACATATTATAATGAAACTGTTCTAAAGTTCTTTGACTTTATTCCCCTTTCCCTTTAAAAAAAACAAAAGCAAAAAAACCCCACACCTCAAATGATACTCCATTTTAGTGTTTACCTAAACACGACAAAAATCAATGAAGAACCATCTGACATGCAACTTTCTTCTTACCTCTAGGTTAAGGTAAAGTTTAGCTAAGAACAACACAAAGGCATGAAATTGTTTTCGAGCAGTCTCATCTCCTTTGGCAGCTTCATCTCTATTTTCATACTCTGTTTGACACCTGAAAATGGTAAAACAAAAATCATATAATCTGTAGACAACTCAACATATGCAACATGCTACTTATTTAATAGAATGCTAAGAACTTATTCACTGCATTAGAACTATCAAATGCTGAATACTAGGAAGTCCAATTTGTGAAGGAAGTGAGAGGGCTTTACAAAGACAATGCAGATTTTGTTCTGAGATATCTCAGACAGTAAAATGTAATAGAGCAAATTGCAACGTGTAAAAATTAAAAGACAATTACACAGTTTATATATTAGAATATGGGTCCAGGAAGTTTAACATGGACAGACAAACATCAACAGAAATAAAGTAGGTGTACTCTGAAAGACATTTTCTCCCTTTCAGGGTGCTGCTCACATTGTCTTAGATGCCTTTACACTTATTTGATAAATTCTTTATCTTACTATTTTAAGTGACAGAAGCATAATTTAGATATAAATGCAGTGAGGATTAAGATAACATCACACTGAGGTAATTTTTTAGTATTGAACAACTGTGTTCTTTTAAGTTTATCATGCCTTTACTCCTAAACATAGGTGGACTAAGTGAAACTTTTAAAATAAGAAGCAAGTCTGGAGCTTAGAAAGCCAGATTTCACAGAATATTCTGAGTTGGAAGGGACCCACGAGGATCATTGAGTCCAACTGTTAAATGAATGGGGATTGAACCCACAACCTTGGTGTTATTAGCACCATGCTCTAACCAACTGAGCTCATCTCAGGGTCAGTCAAAAGTCCTTAAAGGAAAAAAGATTAATTTCTAAAGAATTCTGTAGCATTTAAGTGTACTATTCCTTCAAGTGTCATACAGTAAGATTTAAAAGGAAATACATCCATTTAAAAATGTTGCATTTTTGTCAACTATGAAGTCTAATCATTATTAAACATTAATCCACCAAATTCTGTAGTAACTGAAAATTGAAGAAATTTATCCTTCTAGATTTTATGCATCTATTTCATAGTTGTAAAGTCAGTTAGCAAAACAACAAATAAACCTTACAGAGTAACTCCAGACAGAAAAGTAATTAAAGAAAAAACACAATGAAATAAGTCCTGGCAAGAGTCAAAGGACAAGGACAGTACATTTACATGCATTTAGTATACATTTAAAGTTGACTACCTTTCAAATTTACCCTGTAACTTGGTATTAGTCTAATATACTCAATTCAAAGGAGCCTATAGAACCCCAAACGGAGTCCTATTTTCATATTAAAAATATAAAAATTTAAAAATATATGTGTTAGATATCTAGTATGTACCTGTGCTTTAGTAATCCTCAATCTAAATTTCTATTTTAAATATGCATGCTATGTTAAGAGTTACATATAAAAGAGGAAGACAACCTGAGAAAGTAATGGGCTTAAAATGACACACTGATACTAACCTTTGAAGTAACAATTGTCGGAAGTTCCCACTTAGTGGACTAATGGTTAGATGGTGAGATAGATAGTTACACAACCGTGTTCCCATGTAGGAAAAATTTGGGACAGTTGTGGTCTTCCAAAATAAAAGTGGAAATTATTCATAGAAGTCATGATTAGGTTATCAGGAAATATCTTTAAGGGATTTGTGAAAATCTGTGTTTAACAACAGTTGACTAGACAATTGAAGAGTAGAAGATTAATTACTATTTCTCATGTTAATTTTTCTATCTCATCAACACTGCTATATGCATTTCATCACTTTGAAGTTCATTATACTGGTTTTGTGGCTTTGAGAAAACAACCAGCAATATGTCATGTGTCCTCAATTCTACTTCTCCATTGTGACCTACACCAAAGAGTATCTGAAAGTCACTTCCAAACTGTTTATACAGACCCCCCCTCAAAAAAAAACAAATCAAAACAAAACCAAGAGTGAAGATTAAGACATCTTTTTTAAGAAGCAAAGAGTGTGTTAAAACAAAAGAAATAAATAAAAAATTTGCTTTCATTCAGTCTAAGAGTTATTTATCCCAGAATCTATTTTTGGCAATAATGAATGCCCAGGGAAAGAGCACAGGAACACTGCAAGTAAAGATAAATACTTTCTCCTGTACATGCTCCAGCAAACTGCAGAATAGCAAACTTCTGATTCAGATATTAAAACTGTATCATTACAGTTAATAGTTCTTGATGAGTCCTTTTTTTCTAAAACAAGTCCTATTACTGTTGAACATTTACACTTTTATAATCTAAAAACAGGTGGTGGCAACTAAATTCCACAACATAAGTTGTACACTGTCTGAAAAATATTTTGCTTTGAAACTGGTACTTGAAAATTCCAAGAGGTGGTAAAAGTAATTGGGAATCCATTAGTGTTTACATTCAACCTCTCAGAACTTAAAGCAGAACATTCCCTTATTTTGGCAATTTATTACTGCTCATTTGTTTTGAACTCTCTTCTAACAAGACTTGAATTTGATATTATTTCTCAGATACAGCTTCAGTGAAAAGAGGCTCTGGTCTAAGTAACTTGATCAGCTCTGCCAAAACCCCCCCATGGATAAGAATTCATTAAACTTCTTTGGTTTTATCATCTTTGAACATTCCTTTTACATTATGATCATCTATCAGTGCTATAAATGTGCTTGCATGCTTCTGCTTCTAACATGTTTGAAAAAAGCATCTTGCCATTAGCGTGTCAATGCATTATAGCTAGTTAACTTCTACAGGTAGAGGAAAATATACACTCAACATAACTGTACTATGTGCATAACATTGCTGGAAAGAACTGAGATATCTTTGAAAGATACAACAAATTTAAGTAATTAAGATAGTCAAAACAACTTTAGTTTCCAGTAAGAGGCATGTGAAATAGCTAACAAGTTTTTTGGTGCTTTAGTTCAATAAGTTACTTGGACTAGAAGAGGTGGTCCCCTTTTTATAAGGCAAAATATGTCACTTAAATTACACTTCTCTTTCCTACAGGGAAAAAAACCAAAACAAAACCAACCACAACCAAAAAAAACCCCCACAAACAAACAAAAAGTACCAAAACCCACCACAAAACAAACAAAACCCCACCAAAACAAACCACCACACAGCCAAAATCAACAACTACTTCAAACCTCATGTCATGATTTGAGATTCCTAAAATCTAATTCCCTAGCTCCATCCCCCCTCCCACATCTCAACCTAATGTGGGATGATTTTCTCTAGACAAAACACCAGACTCAAAATGGGGAAAAGGGAATATATTACAATGACTGTACAAATAAATATTAAAATACATTATACACACAATCTCAACTATCTCTACCATGACATAAGTATTTACAATGGATCAGATCTCTTCTCCCCTCCAAATAAAAGTCCAGGAGGGAAGAAGGACAGATCCCTTCCACATTTAGGGCAGTAGCTCCTCTTCTGTCTTCCATGCAGCAGTTGCAACTGGATTGTTGTAGCTGGATCTCTTTTCAATACACACAAGGGGGTCTCCAAGTCCCTCGTCTCTCCTTCGACTCCAAGTGAAGGCCTCACCTGTGGACTGCTAGCAGGGACAAAACTCGCTTCACCACAGGTATATCACGAAATGAAGGGGCATCTTCGTGAAAGTCCCTTCCTCAGGGGATTCACCCCAAGTCAGAACATCTTGGGCAGCTTTCAGTTGAAAGTCCTTGCCTCAAGAGTTCCACCAGAGCTCCTGTGCTCTGTCTCAACTGTCAACATGGTAGCAGCAGCGGGGGGGAGTAAGGTCACCCCCTTCTGCATTCCATCCGGCCGTCCCGGTCCAGATCCGGGACGTCTTCGAGCTTCTTAGCTCCTCTCTCTCCAGTACTGCTGTACTCCAAGACTCCTCTCAAATAGGAGTCCATCTACTCCTCCTCTCTCTAGGAGGGGTCTCCAAGGGTTTTTTGGGGGTCTGGTTCAGTTCTTACCCCCAAAACTCTGTCTCTCAGTTGCTGGCTTTCTCTCGGCTTTCCTTCCAGGAGTTCTCTCCTGCTTGATTGTAATGCCTCTGCTGCTTCGTCTTATCTCTTCTGGTTCTGTGCCACCGTTTCTCTGGTCAGTGCCGGCTGCCGCTACTCCTGCCGCTGCCCACGGTGGAGAGAAAACTCCCAGCCTTCATAGCTACAGACACATAGTCCAGTTTAACACTGTTTCTGAGTTTCTATGACCCCAGTCGGGGGCTGGGGGGTCGTGGTTCCCCAGAGGGGCTCTTGCCCCTTCAGCTCATGGCTTCAGAACATGGTTACTTCTTCTTCAACCCAAAACTACAACTCTTCTCTTCCGTTTGGTTGTGATATGTTTATATTTTGCAGAAGCACTCATTGGACAAAACTTCAAAACTTCTAGGGCCACCACCCCCTGGGGTTTTACCATTTTCAACTGCAGGGGAAAAACTTGATTCAAACCACTACACCTCATCTGTTTTATTTTAAACCATTATCTTCCTAATTAGTTAATCTGTATTTGTGGTTGCATCAGATACTGAAACAGTTCAATTTGGGGTATTGTGGCAGAGCACACAGAAACCAAAAAAACCCATCTCATATCATCTTACTAACCAATCATTATAGTACAGTAATGAATTATTGTTGATTTGTAATCCTGGTTTATCTCAAACTCAAAAAAAAGTCAAAATCTAAGCATGAAGGCTAGTCTACCAATATGTACCTTGAGAAATTTTAGCTGCTGTAACAGCAACAATACACCATATTTACTAGACAACAGTCAAGATTCTTAAGCTATGAAATTAGTGTTCGGCTTTTGGAAAACAAGAGAACTGGTACTTTACTCTGTAAAGACATAAATGGATTAGGAAGAACAGGGGGAAGTAGATAATTAATTCTTACAGACAGGTTAAGATACCTGATATCTGGATGAAGGGAAGACTGTACAGGATTTCGGTTTCTTTCATTTTAGCTTTTTTCCTTCACAAACCTAGCATATGTAGATTTGCTCAAACATCACTGAAGCAGATGCTTATAAACACACTTCAGCAATTTCAAATGAAGTTTTGTGATAAACCAGGATGAGTAAAAACAAATACTTGAGCAGAAGCTCAAGATAGAAGAATAAGCATAGTTGACTGACAGTCAAACACTATCATATCTTGACATACAACAAAGCTGAAATTGTGTGCTTTTGGATACTAGGACAGCATTTTGCACTAAGTTTTATTTTTCACATAAAACTGTTCTATTTCAGACTGATAACACTCAATGTTTCTCAGTTAAGGAAGGCACAGCCAACCCTAACATTGGACTTGTTGTAAATAGGGGGAGAGAAAAAGATGCAACATTAAAAGACTTATATTAAACAAGAGTCAATTTATTTAACATATATGAAGTTTCTTCCAATACAGTTATATGGAATATTTTCATCTTCTATTAACTGTGTCCAAATAAAGGATGGAAAAATGATGTTGCCAAACACAGCACAAGTAATCTTCATGTCCAACTAAACTGTTCTGATTAAATGTGCATCAATTCTGTATTATAGTAAAAAATTTAAGACACTACAGTTCTGTACAATGATCAACCAGTCACGCAGGTTCTACATACCCCAGATTATTTCACAGTAAAAAAAACCTGCAAGTATCTGTACTTAAAAGGCGAATAAAGTTTACATTCTTCAAGGTAGAATTTGAAAGCAACTCAGAAAAATGGGAGGCACCTAATGTAATAAATAGCAAGCAGAACTGTGAGTTCATCCTCTGCAGCAAGCCCAGAAGACAGTAGCAGTAGTTCATTTGCTAAGCAACACAGATTAAGTTGTTCTTTCCAATGGTTCCCCCAATTAGTCTAGAGTTCAGCTCAAGGTCTCTGTCCTCATTTCCATGACCATCAATGGGATTAGACCTAGTTACCAGCAGACTAGCTTTCCTTTTCTTCTAATTATGATGTTCTGAAATAGGTATAATACCAAATGAAGAACAAAGCCTGTCAGTGAAAGAGCATTTCCCAAAGGGTGATGCAAACAGTAGGTATAATTTTTTTAAAATACCAAGGAACGAAAAATATCTATTATGAAGAATTTTTTTGTAGGATAGAATAAAAATGTACAACTGACAGTCTCTGCTATATAAATCTAGCAATTCAAATATAACTCCTTTAATAAACTAGTGTAATTTCAATTCTAGTATGTGATCTGAGAGATTCAAATACACAGTAAAGGAAACAGAGCAAATTGGGGAAATTTATCAACCAGTCAAGTATATCACACTTGAGTTATCATTACAGTTTATTGAGAAAAATCTTTCCCTATACATTTCAGTCTAAAAAGAAAAATTCAAACCATTAAAATATTATATAGGTATAATGATAAAACAAATAATACTAGGATGCATATTTTGCACACTAGGCAACAAAGGCATAACATCCATGTTGAGACAGAATACACAGGCTACCTGCTGATATACGAGTTCAACAAGTTCTTGCAAAGTTTCATCTGCAGTGACCCAGCCATATACTATTTCAGTAAACTGCTCTATTTCAGTTTCAAAACAACCTGGTTGCTCAGCGAGGTGATTTAGGAAGTCTTGTACATATTCTGCCAAAGTCAGATAGCCATCATATCCATCTTCAAAGGAAGAATCCTATAGCAGTGAAAGAATATACCAGCTATTTAAAAGGAACCTTAAATAAAGTTGTCACACTTACTATCTCCAGAAGTAACCATATAGCCCTCAGCCTTGAGTAACTCCTGATGCTCTGCATACTTGATATTGAGCTTTATTACATAGTTCACTTAAACATTTTTAGCAAATATAGACCTCTGCATTAGAAAACTCCAGGATTCAAGAACTAGGCAACATGTTTTTATAGAGATTAGGGTCTCCCAGCAAAACACATCAAAAGACAGATTAAAAAGAAATCAGTTTGCCAAGTTGAGTGTAAGATTTACTGACAAACTAACAAGTATGTATAACTGTTAAGAATAAAATTACCAAACTAAGGCTCAACACCCTTTCCTGATGCACACACAAACTGTGCTTCAGTTATATGAACTGTAGAAGAAAAAATAATTAAAACTGGAAACAAAATATTTTGAGCTTACGTAGAGTGCAAAAGTGCTCCAAAATATGCAGGAGGGGGAGAAATTACAAAAATACAATAGAGTGTAATGTTCCCATGTATAAAATATAGCCAGGAAAACTGATCTTTTAAAGTCAGAAAATTTGCATCTCAACAATGGATGAATGACTACAAGGTATGAAACTACTCAAATGGTATTGCATTAATTTGCAGTTACTGAGGTCAAAAAACAGACAGTAAACACACCTGGGCCCGAAAGAAAGGAGTTAGAACAATACCACTATATCAATGTCTATGCTCCTGCTGACGGAACAGAAAGCTGCTAATTTTGTCCATTCAAAAATGAATGTATGTAACAGTCTCAAAAGTCAATGCTGTCCTGGATAATTACGATGCTAGTATATGAAAGGAATAGCATAGGAAGCAACATACTTTGTGATGTTGTATTGGGTCTGGCTGAGCTGGAGTTCATTTCCCCACAGTAGCCCTCACAGTGCTGTGCTTTGCATTGGCAGTTAGAAGGGTGTTGAGAACACACCAGTGTTTTGGTTACTGCTGAGCACAGCATCAGCACTGTAACATTCCTTCCTCAGTTGAGGGCAAGATCCTGGGAGGGGACCCAAGTAGGCCAGCTGACCCCAACTGACCAAAGGGATATTCCATACCATATGATGTCAGCTCAGATATAAAAACTAAGGCAAGGAGCAGGAAGGCGGGCATTCATTGTCTCCAGTGGCTGTCTGCTGAGAAACCATCATGCGAACTGAAGCCCTGCTTCTCGGGAGTGGTCAAACATCGCTGCTTATGGGAAGTAGAGAATAAACTGTGCTATCTTTTGCTTCGCTTTTGAGTGTGCAAGCTTCCATTTTACTTTTTGCTTTAAATAAACTGCCTTATCCATACCCAGGAGTTGTTCTCCGTCTTACTCTCTCCCCTGTCTGGTTGGGAAGGGGAGTGATAGAGCGGTTGGGTGGGCACCTGGCGTCCAGCCAAGGTCAACCCACCACAGATGTAACTAGTAATAATACAGTACAAATAATTCACCTTTTCACACTGTACAAAAGATTGTAAAAAGTACCTCATATGAGATCTCAGAGGTGCAAGCAGGAACCTGAAGAGGGACTGCTAAAGAACTGACTGATAATTAGTGATTCAAAACATAAGGGTAACATACAAGATATCAGAATTCTCAAATGATCTACTGTTTAACATGAAAAAGATTTGAAATATATCTACTGTAATGAAAAATTGAGCTAAAAATGATAAACCACTTTTACTGAGTGGACATAAATACACTGATAAGGTTTATAATTATATTCTCCCTCTCCTCACCATCCCTCCCTTAATGAGGGGATATCCTTTACTTTTTGTCTTCAAAATGCCTCATTCTCTCCTCTATTGCGAAGCAACATGGATCTGTGAAAGATAAAAGCCCTGGATATGAACTGTGGAGAAAGATACATATTGTTGAAAAGTAAGTATTGACATTAATTTCACAACCTGTGAAGAATGTGTGAGAAAAAAATCAGATTTTCCAAAATTCTTCAAAGACCTATGTTCTAAGGATATACAACCTAAGCTAACGAGGGACACATTAATAGAATAAAGAAAAACTAGAAAGATTTCATATGATGTTTAATTAAATAGCATATTTGCTCAGTGAATAATACTGAAGACAAAGTTATCGTGGTCCATAAGAAATAGGAAAAAAAATGGGTTTAAGGAAATGGCAGCAAATTTTTATTATTCATAAGGATAAAACCTTAAACAACCTGATCCAACTTGATTTTGCTTTGAGTTGGGGATTGGACCACAAACTTCAGAGATCCTTTCCAACCTAAATTATTCTATGATTCTAATGGTTTAGAGTTTATGAAGCCAAAGGATAAAAGCTAACATGCCTCTAACTTGCTAAATATTCTATTTCTCTAAAGGAAATCAAATTTTACTAGGCAATTTCAAATAGCCCAGTAAAAGTTTTGTACAACAAAGTTAAATTATTTTGGTCCACAGAATTATGACATTATTGTGCAACAACTGCAGTTTAGTCACAGCAAAACTAGTATCTCTTCAAACAACCTGTTTGAAAACTCTCCAGACAAGTTGCAGGGGATGCAATTGCTGTAGCTAGTAAAAGAAGCTGCTCTTTCTGAAAGCCATTAGGTTGTTATGAGATCCTCATTTAATAGAGAGGAAGGTATATTCCTCTCATCCTCACCTGATAAAAATCCAGCCTTGGAAGAAAACATCCTTGTTCTGCAAGGGGCTCCAATCCCATTTGGTATACTGGTGTCCCCGTATTCATACTCCTGTTCCCATTTTGTAATTAAAAGGCTAACCACAGAGGCTAAACTCAGCACCACATTCATCTACCTATACTAAATATGCAACTTCAAAGGTAATCTAGGTTTTAGTAACTATGCCAGGGAACAGAACAAATGGGAGAGGAAAAAAACAATTCAAATATTATTATATGTTGTATATTGCTAAATTAGGAACACTTGACACTTAAAAAACTAATTAGATTTAGTCCAGTAACTTCTAGACATAAACCACTCATGTTTCACACTGACAGATTTTAAGTTTTAACAGAGAAGATAATACCATGTACTGTATCAAGGGAAAGTAAAGGAAATTCCTCTTGATTATAAACAGCAGTTGGCTAACAGGAGGCTATAAGTTCACACATTCATTACAAATTTATGTTTCAAAGCCATGAAAGCCAACTAGAAAATTTCCAATAATCTCAATGATTTCTCAGTCAAGCCAGCACTGTCTAATCCTTCACCTTTATGTTTGATAGCTATTAGATGGGATCCTGGATTATTCACAACAAAAACACGAGTCACTAACTTAAAGTTGCTGTCAATCTACAATAAACGAAGTTCCTGGATTCTTACATTAAGCGTCCTGAGCTTTCTGTCGCGACGATATTATTGGCGCCCGTGTGCAGGGACCAGAGGGGGTCCCTAGGAGATCAAGTCGGATTTCCTGGGTCAGGAGTCAAGTCGGACTCCCGAGAACCAAGTCGGGTTCTCGCAGCCGCGGTCGGACGTAGTAGTTTCGGTCGGTCTTGCTGTGCAGCACAAGAAGGCGAAAGGGTTGGACGAAAAGAGTTCAAACCTGCTGCCACCGAACGCCTCCCTTTCGGTGATTTTGGACGGCGAAGGAGTTTAGTTCCGTGTCCCACGTAGCGAAAAGAGCTCAAACCTGCTGCCATCGAACGCCTCCCTTTTGGGGATTTCGGACAGCGAAAGAGTTTAGTTCCGCGCTACCAGCAACGAAATTGTTGGACCCAGCGCCCGGGACGACTCCTGAAGAAGGAGGCCCGCTGACAAAGCCGCAAAGTCTCGTGGAAAGGGTTGCACAAAGCATGGTAATACGTTTTTAGGTAATGGGGAGACAGGCGGCACTATCATTGCTCCAATGCTTTTTATAAAAGCGGGGAGTTAAGGGTTAAGGGTTTAGATTTAAAGAAAGAATTACCAAGATTGCTTGCGGCAGGGGTTGCTAAAAGTTGTTTTGTGGACCCTAATACAGTTTTTGATGAAGGGGACAACTCTTAGCAAAAGAGGGATCTAATGTCGCATCTATATAGAAGTCTAGTTTGCTTTAAAAAGAGAAAAATTAGACGAACTGGTTTTGCGAGAGATGCTGCTTTCGTGTAAGGGCCAGAGATTTGAAGTGAACGCTGTAGCTGCCTTTACTATCTCTACTTGGAAAGAACTTAGTGATAAGTTCTTTACTGCTGACTCTAAGGGAGAAAGAGTTGCTGCTTCCCTCCTTACAACTTGGCGATTGTTATCTGGAATAGTAAAAGACATTAAAGCACAGTTTGAGGACATTAGAATGCTACTAGATGCCATCATACGGAGAAATCGTGGAAAAAGGGAGTCGAGCGGAGCCGAGGGGAGCCAGAGTGGGACAAGAGATCACGGAGCGGGACCGGGGACAACCGGGCGGCCCCGGTAAAATGAACGCGGTGCTAGCGTCTCGGCAGTGCATGTCCAGGACGATCGGGGACGACGGTTGCGGCGTGAAAGTACTGCTGATAGACCGGGGATGAACTTTACGAACACTATGACTGAGTTCCACCTTAAGACATTTCCAGTTTTTCATCTGAACTGTGCTGCGGGACTGCGCCGCGCATTTGTGGCTGTGTTCACGGTGCTGGGTGCTTGCGCCGCCGTGCTGAGTGCCCCCGGGGCGGTGCCGGGTGGCGGGGCAGTGGTGGTGGTCGCGGCGCCGTGCGCGGCCCCGGTTCGGAGCGGTGCGCCCGCGCGCGTGCATGTCGGTGGCCCCGGGTGCGGCGGGCGGCGGGGGGGCTCTGTTTCCCCCGCACTGCTGACAGCCATGGTCCCAAGAGGTGTAGATTCCCCTCCCTTTCTTTACAGCGAATGTTTTCTCCCTAGTGCCGCTCCTTTTCTTAGAGTGGTAAGTTAATGACGGTAGCGAGGGCTTTGGGGGGTGCAGTCGGGGGAGGGGGGAAGTTGTTTCTCTTTTTTCCTCGTTGCACCAGTCGCCCCCTCTCTGAAACGTGCCTGTTTGCAGCTGTTTTCTCCTTCTCCTATGTTTTTGTCTTTTCTTAAGCAGACCCTGTGATTAAGTTAAGTTCCTTCTGCTGATTTTCTCTGGGTGAGCCCGGCTCCTCCTCCTCCTTTGTCCTTCGGCAATGAGGGGCGTGAGGGGGGCAAAGACGGTAAAACACGGTAAAAAGGGAAAAGGGAAAAACAATTTAAGATTAACAATACCCCAATTTATAAATCAAATAAGATTGCACTGTTTTTACAGCAATAGGTGTTACGCATGCAGCGTGTTCATGGCATTCTCAAACGTTTTCTTCAAAAACAGAAAGGGAGATTGACGAAAAATCCCTTGAAGTAAGATTAGAAATAACGCAACATCCGTGCTTAGCTTTTTGTGCATTGCAGAGGGTTGTTAAGAATTTCCTATAGTTTGCGATTTTGCTTCTCTTACGTGAAGTTTGGCTGTTTCCCCCAGGAGCAGAGTGCGGGTAGAAAGTTTGCAGACGGAACGATGAGACAAAAGGGGATATGGTTCTGCCCCCTGCAGAAGTGGTTCTATTGCCTTTATGACAGAATATTATTGCTCTATAAGAAGGGTTGAAAATTTCCAAGATAATGTCCTGTTCTTTCTTGCTGCGTTTGTCTTTTACATGGAGAGTTATGCAGGATTTGCGGATTGCTGTTAGCGGTTATGCCATGGATTTTCTTTGAATTGTGAGGTTGATGGGAGGCGCACAGCCAGTGACTGCTTGGGAATGTGTGTGTGAATGATGGATGACTGAGGTGGCCACCTAAGAGTGTATGGAAAAAGATTGTGTGAAAGAGAAAAGCTACATGAATGTGTAACTGTGTAAACTTAAAAATACTTTCCGTCGGTGTCGAGATTTTAACAAAGCGTTAAGACTGAAGTTAAATAAGAGATTCTTACAGGAATTTGGTATTCTATTACAGCCTTGTATGAAATTTGTGCAAGTTGAGTCTCAGGTGGAGTTTTTCCACTGCTGTCGTTCCTTAGCTGTGTGAGCGGCGCAAGAAACCACTAAATTTGGAGCGAGTGAAAACCATGAGCCGACAAACATTGGTGCGGGCTGCAGGGTTGGCGGAGCCCGGGGTGGGGTGCGCCGCTGTGCGTCCGGGTGCCCGGGGACCATTCTTGCAGTTCATGGAGGGGTTGCGGGACGCTGTGGAGAAACAGGTTTTGTGAAGGCTACGGAGGCTGCTGGTTGCATGACTGGCTGGAGATGGTGCGGGCTTGTGCCGGGGTGGGGTCCTTGGACCGTCGGATGATTGCGTTTGCATCTGCCGTGGCAGTGGTGAGGGTCGTTTTGAGTTTTTCTGTGTTTTCCAGGATTTAGATCGGGAGTTGTCGATGTTGCTGCGTTGTTTGTTCGGCTCGTTGCAGGGGGGCCTTGCAGACTGTCAAGGTCATCCTGTATGCCTTCTCAAAAACATCTGCAGTGTTGTGGATAGTGTGTCTTCAGGCCTCCTGGTTGGAGGCCAGAGCAGACCAGTTAAGTTGATCAGTGTGACTAAAGCTGAAGCGTTGTTTTAAAGAGTCCTTATATATTGTCTTCAAAACCCCTCCCGTGCAACAGCTGGTGGTAATATTCGTTGTGAAGCGGTTGGTCTCTCCACCTTAAGGCATGCCCTGCCCATTGCAGCTGTGTTCTCAGCGGGGTGGCCTCACTGCTTGTGGCTGCTGCTTGTTTCGTGCCAGACGTATTGCTTGCGTGGTTTGACTAGTGAATGTTTAGGGTTGTGCGAAAGCAACCTGTACTCTTTGTGATGCTCAAAGCTTGCTGTTAATTGTCCAAACAAACTTCTGTAGTCATTCTGTAGTCATTCCAAGAGTTAAGATTGTGATGTTGATTTCATTGAACCGTCTCAGAATCCTTTAATTACCCCTGTGTTTGTGAAATCTGTGAAGTGAAAACTGTTGCATGATCTCAGAGAGCTTAGTGTAGTCATGGTTAGTCAAGCGTTTTTTGTACTCTAAAGGACTCCTTTGAAGAGGATTGTTCCAGGAGGTTTCCTGTGCTTCGATCCGGTGCAGTTTCATGGTTTTTCACCTCTTTTGGAGATTTGAGAAAGGCACGCTGTGCTTGGCCAGAGGCCTCCTCTAGACTGGTGGTCTTGTAGTCCCTGTGGGAGTTGAGGGCAGAGCATAGCATGCAAATGCAGGCCTTGTCCTTCTTGCAGTAGCATTCCAGCAATTTGCCGTGCTGGGGGCATCTCCTCTCAGCCAAAACCTAGGCACCACAAAGCTCCACCAGGACGTAGTTTTTCTGAGTGTTCTTTGTGCTGTGCTTGCTCAGGTGAGCTTGGCACAGAGAGGCAGAGGCCTTGCAGGTCAGGTAAGCCTTCTCGGCCACATGGAGCTCCTGACAGGATCACCTCTGCTTGCTGCCCCAAACTTTTCTCCTTCTCTTTGCATTGCATTTTCTGCTTTTCCTTCCCTTGATGAACAGAAGCATCCAAAAGGTTCTCCACGATGTTGCGGAGTTGGTGATTGAGCTTCAGCTCCCCGGTGGAGCCTGTGAGGCAAAGGCAGAGTGAGCAGTTGGAAGGGCCCAGCTGGCACAAACTGCCTAGCCTGTACACAAGAAAAACTGTGGAGCCTGGGTGAAACAGTAGAACAGCATTAAGTTGCATTGGAACGGTGGGAGGTGCTGTGTAGCAGCACGAGGATGCTCGCCCAGCCTCGATCAGGTGTTTTGCATATTGGTGTGGTAAAGATGTTGAGATTCCCTATCATCGGATTGTATTCCCGCAAAATTGGGAGCAGCTGTGTAATAAGTTTTCTTCTTTTCATGGGCACGATTGCCACAGTTAAAACTCTTCACACCACTGATCCTCGGGGAAACGAGTGGGTTGCTTGAGCAGATCAAGCAGGTCGGTCATCCTTCTGTTTGTCTTTAGCATCTGCCTTGGATCCTTTTCGCACTTGTTTGTTTGGCGTGCTTTTTGGTTCAGTGTATAGGTTGAGCTTAGCGTTTACTGGTTGGGTTTCGTCGTCGTGTGAGAGTGAAGCGGTTGTTTCTGATGCATCTGCCTGCCTTGTGGGGGCTCTCGGCACCTCTTTGCCCTGGGATCCCCGGGAGTTGGATTTGGTGGGATCACTGTCTGTAGGTGGCGCAGGTAGTAGTGAGACTCAGACCTGTTTTGTGTTGGGATTGTTTCAGTCTGGGTTGGGTGTCCGTCGGGGCCGCGACTTGTCCGGCTGGACTGGTGTCGCTTCGCGTACCCCGGGGTTTGATTGCAAGCATACGGGAGACTATTGTGGTGCTGGTAGTGGTGGTAGCCAGAGCCTTGGGGCATATGGAGCTGAAGTGGGGCCTTCCTCTCCAGGCATTTGGGTTGGCGGCACTGCACGCGTTTTTCTATCAGGTGTGTTTCTTATTTGTGGTGACACAGTAGCAACTAGTCCTATAGACTTGCAGCTTCAATCTATCTTTGGTTCTATATCTGAATGGGCTCTAAGTTATATTAAGGAAGGCCTACGATGGGTATTGACAGTTATTGTAATCTTAGTAATAGCTCGTGTTGCCTTTTCTTGTATTACTAGACGTGTAAACACTACGACAAAGAAAGCATTGTTGGCCTCAAATAAAAACGGGGGTATTGTAGAGAATTGGTTAGAAATGCGAGGGCATATGAACATGGCTAAAGCCATGGATGAGCTGCTAAAGTATAAGACGCAGGCCTCTAACTAGGCCATGAGAAGGTCTGAAATAGCAGGACGTGAGAAAGGGGCAATGTCCTTGGGTATTCTAAATTGAGCTGAAAAACAGGAGTTTGGCATTACCAAAACAAAAGCACTTAACGAGCCACCTGTGTAAACAATGGAAGACAGTTAAGATGATATCACCGCCTAACTGTGTACCAATAATGAGCCTAATTCCTGTAATATTCATGAGCCTATTATAGAGTGTATATTAAGCTGCTGTCAATCTACAATAAACGAAGTTCCTGGATTCTTACATTAAGCGTCCTGAGCTTTCCATCGCAACGATAATAACAGATTTGCCTCTCTCAGTTTATGAGTTTAAAGAAATAACAATGAAAAGGCTAAGTAGGTACTGAAATCCCTGATTTACATAAAGATAAAACCAGAAAGTCTATGGAAAAGATCCATGAGCCAAATTTGCTCTCAGTACATATGCTAATTAGAACTTTCCTATACCTGAAAAGTATTCACAACATCTCCACTTAGGAACTTAGTCACCAATAATTTATTATTGATTTGATTTCTTGAGACTTCTTAGGAACAAGCTTTTTTTTTTCCCTTTGGATTATACCTACTCAGCAAGTTTACAATAGTTATTGCAAAATTAGGTATAAAGACTGTTGCAGGTACAAACCTTATATGACATAAATAGGTGATTTAATTGACACCTTCATGTTTGGTTAAAAGTATAAACCCCACTACTGAGGTTGCTTAGCCTCCTTTTTGAAATTAGCTGAAGAAAAAAAAAAGGCAGAGGGGAAATTCCACCTAAGATAACCCAAATCTCCTAAAACTATGAATTGAGAACATTATGTCCTTCTGATGGAGTGACAGTTGTATTATTCTCATATACCCATGTCTGAGAACAAGTCTGACATTTCCTACTGGCAATACAAACCTAAATCTAGTCACCAGTTCTACTGCAGATATCCACAACTTCCGATGGGATGGACAGCTGTATGCAAACAGAAAATCCCAGAGATCTTTCCTCCCCAAAGTCCTGGTAAAGTTTTTCTGAAAATTCTAGTATGCCTTGGATGCTGTAGCCCTTAAAGTATCTTCACAGGTAACTGATAGTTTTGAGTATCAGAACTAACTGGAGATTAAATAATCTAATAATCAAGTGTTATATGGACACACATAGTAATTACAGTAATGTACAATCCAACAAGGAATCAACCAACACATTATTTCTAAAACAATAAATGTTTAACAAATAGCAAAAAAATCAACATGAGTTTTCAGATCTAAAAATTTCAGGTAACGTTATAAGTGAAAGCTAAGTATTACTTGTAAGTCAGAAAACCTGAAGTTTCTCAAAACTTTGCTTTGTTTCGAATTTTAAAACTCATGGTGAAAAATCCGTGTAATAGTAAAGTGTGCTAAATTCCTTATTTTTATTGCAGGTGGACCCAGTTCATAAAATTAATTCAGTCATTAAAGTAAAAAACAAACAAACAAAACCCCTCAAAAAACCAACAAAAACTAACAAACAAAAAAATCCCCAAACTTTGCAATAGTCAAGGACTAACAAGTCTGAAATATCACTATTCTATCCCTAGTATATTCTGATTAGATTAGGGTTCCTACAACATACTTCCAAATAAATGTTCTAGGTTTTGCTAGCATTTTAAGAGTTATTTTCATTGACAGATGAGTCACTTGTATTCATAACATATTCCTCCAACATTGCAACCAGGAACTCCCACATGCTTCTGTGTTTTCACAAAACAGCTGAAAAGCAACATTGCTGGCCTCAAAACTTTGTAATTATACATATGCACGCTCATGCCATCCCAAATGGCATTTTTTCTTTATTCATAGAAAACATGTAACATGTACCAGGGCAAAGTATTATTTTTTCCCCCTAGATTATCCATTCACAGAAGCATGTTTGTACTGGCATTTTTCAACAGTTGTATATGACTATGGGTTTTTATTATTCAGGACGGTGATTTTATTCAGTAAGCTGGCAAAGCTGGTAACATCGAAATAACATCGATTTTACTGGTGAGGAAGAAAAACCTTCAAAATTCCAAACTACCATGTTTAGCATTCAAATCAAGTATTTTTCCCTAAGTTATTCAAAATATATTTGTTTCAGTATAACTGTTTATTATCATTTGATTGTGTTTGTAAAAGCAATAGTTCCCACCTACTTATATATAGTACCAGTTTATATCCCTGCATAACAAAAAGATATTCCAAGAATTCACATAGATCTTCCCTAGAGTAAAATTACTGTAGCAATAATATGGAAGACAAGGAGAGTAGAAAATAACAAGTACCAACTTTTATTATGTGATGTACAATAGGGATCTGAGATTATCCTTAGTCTGGCTGCAAACAAATTTCATGTTAGGTATGCTGCTAGGAATGAGTCCAAACCTACTTTTTTGCCCTCTGGTGACACAGTATCCATGAAGGAATTAAAAGACACATGATGGTACATGAAATTAAGTAGTCATGGAAAATCATACCCGTGGCACAGTAAATTTAGGAAACGTAAAGCCTGTGCTTAGAAAAGTTAAAAGTTCAAGCTTTCTCCTGCACTTGCTTCAAAACCCCATGATATCTGAATAAAAGCACAGTTAAGCTTTTAATTGAAATGCAATGCAGATGTAACTATAACAGATGTAGTTGTCAAAAAGACAGCTTACTATGATGCTGGGTGCAATCAATAAGGAATGGGGTTATCTGCAGCAAACTTCCGCAAAATACTAAAGGCTCTCACACAGCATAACATTCACTCATCACTTAACCTCCAGAGACACAGTCAGAAAGTTATCATTCAAATTTTTGAAATCTCTTCAGCAAATGCAGCATTCAAGTTATCTGATACACAAGATCACAAGAAACATTGTTGAACTGAATATAAGTAAATTGGCATATACTGAGAAGACAAACACTCACTGCAAAGTTCTGATTATATCCTGATGGATAAAACTCAGGTGCTTTAAGGGACAACTTTGATGTTATTACAGGAGCCATAGCCACCTGAGATTCAGTCATTTCCAGTCCAGAATCAGGAACGGAAACTTCCTTGTGATCCAGATGGAATTCTTGCCTGTTGCAGGTGTTCTGAAAAGTTTTTGATAAACGGTTTCTGTTAATGGTTTTTCTTAGGAACTGCTAAATTAGTATGTATTCACACAGAGTATACACACAGAATACATCATTTTTTGGACTTTAATTATACTTTTACTTATACTATAAATATACTTTCCTCCAAGCTCAGAAGGGATGCATTCCAATGCAGAGGAAGTCAGGAAAAAATGCCAGAAGGCCTGTGCAGATGAACAAGGAGCTCCTGGACAAACTCAAACACAAAAAAGAAGCCTACAGAAGGTGGAAGCAGGGACAGGTAGTCTGGGAGGAATACAAAGAGATGGTCTGAGGAGCCAAGGATCAGGTTAGGAGAGCCAGAGCCCTGACAGAATTAAACCTGGCCAGGGATGTCAAGAGTAACAAGAAAAACTTCTATAGGTATGCTGTACCTGACAAATTTGGTGGCCTTCCATGATGGGGTTACAGCGGTGGTAGATGAGGGAAGAGCAACTGATGTCATCCACCTGGACTTGTGCAAAGTGTTTGACACTGTCCCACACAACATCCTTGTCTCTAAACTGGAGAGGCATGAATTTGATGGATGACCACTCAGTGGATAAGGAATCAGCTGGATGATCACACTCAAAGAGTTGTGGTCAATGGCTCAATGTCCAAGTGGAGAGCAGTGACAAGTGGAGTCCTCAGGGGTTGGTGTTGGGACCAGTGGTATTTAACATCTTTGTCGGTGACATGGACAGTGGGATTGAGGGCACCCTCAACAAGTTTGCTGATGACACCGAGCTGTGTGGTGCAGTCGACATGCTGGAGGGAAGGGATGGGCCATCCAGAAGGACCTGGACAGGTTGGAGAGGTGGGCCAGTGCAAACCTCATGAAATTCAACAAGGCCAAATGCAAGGTCCTGCACCTGGGTTGGGACAATCCCAAGCACTAATACAGGCTGGAGAATGGAACCCATTCAACAAGACCAGCTCTGGGGAGCAAGACTTGAGGTATCGGTTGACAAGACGCTCACCATGCCCCAGTCACGTGTGGTTGCAGCCCAGAAAGCCAATCGTGTCCTGGGCTGCATCAAAAGCACTGTGGGCAGCAGGTGAAGGGAGGGATTCTGCCCTCTGCTCTCATTCTGGTGAAACCCCACCTGCAGTGCTGCCTCCAGCTCTGGGGCCCTGAACACAAGAAAGATGTGGATCTGCTGGAACAAGTCCAGGGGAGGGCCATGAAGATGATCACAGGGCAGGAGCACCTCTGCTATGGAGACGGGTTGAAAGAGTTGTGGTTGTTCAGTCTGGAGAAGACTCCAGAGAGACCTTATAGCAGCCTTCCAGTACCTGAAGGGGGCCTACAAGTGAGCTGGACAGGAACTTTTTACAAGGTCATGGAGAGAGAGGACAAGGGGAAATGGCTTCAAACTGAAAGAGAGTGGGCGTGGGATAGGCGGGGTGTTTGTGAGTGTTGTCCCTGTCAAAGAGGCCACCTCGGCTTCTAGGGGGTTAAAGGCTCTCGCCCGGATTTCGGTCTGCGTAGCCAACCTTACCTATTCAAGAACTGATGAGTCAGCTTCCCCCCCTTCCCCCGCAAAACGGCCTCGACTTCCAACAACAAACAAGCGTGGAGTTTGTTTGTATCAGCAGCCGGTTCTGGGACCTCGGAATCTATTTGAGTCACAAAATATGCCGAGTTGGAAGGGACCCACAAGGATCATGAAGTCCAACTCCTGGCCCTGTACAGGACCATCCCGAAGAGTCACACCATGTGACCGAGAGTATCATCCAAACACTTCTTGAACTCTGTCAGGCTTGGTGCTGTGACCACTGCCCTGGGAAGCCTGTTCCAGTGCCAAACCACCCTCTGGGGGAAGAACCTTTTCCTGATATCCAACCTAAACCTCCTCTGACACAACTTCAGGCCATTCCCTCGGGTCCTGTCACTGGTCACGAGAGTGAAGAGATTGGTACCTGCCTCTCTGCCTCCTCTCTTGAGGATGTTGAAGACCACAATGAGGTCTGACCTCAGTCTCCTCCAGGCTGAACAGACCAAGTGCTCTCAGCTGCTCCTCATATGGCTTCCCCTCAAGACCCTTCAGCATTTTCATTGCCCTCCTTTGGATGCTAACAGCTTAATATCTTTCTTATATTGTGGTGCCCAAAACTGCCACAATATTCAAGGCGAGGCTGCTCCAGTGCAGAGCAGAGGGGGACAATCCCCTCCCTCGACCAGCTGGCGATGCTGTGCCTGATGCCCCCCCCCCCGGACACGGTTGGCCCTCCTGGCTGCCAGGGCACTGCTGACTCATGTCCAACTGGCCATCGACCAGGACGCCCAGGTCCCTTTCTGTGGCACTGCTTTCCAGCATCTCATTTCCCAGTCTGTACAAACATCTGGGGTTGCCCCATCACAGCTGCAGAATCTGGAACTTGCCCTTGTTGAACTTCATATGGTTGGTGATTGCCCAGCCCTCTAATTTGTCAAGGTCTCTCTGCAGGGCCTCCCTGCCTTCGAGGGAGTCAACAGCTCCTCCCAGTTTTGTGTCATCTGCAAACTTGCTTAGTATCCCCTCCAGTCCTGTGTCCAAGTCATTTATGAAGATGTTGAAGAGCACAGGGCCTAAGATAGAGCCCTGTGGAACTCCACTAGTGACAGGTGTTACGACCCGCCCCAGAAAAGGGGGGGGCGAACTCAGGTTCTTATCAATAATTCCCTTGGGGGGGATTAGAGTGAAACGACACTGAATAATCGATGTTTGAAAACACATATAGGTAGACTTTATTTTAACAATTTAAACATATATAGGTAGGTTTTATTTTAACAATTTTGTTTAAATAGATATGTTAGCATTTTGGGTGTTATCATCTATATCATCTATAGCAATGTGGCATAGAGATAACCTTTAGGGAAAATGCATAAGGGAGAGAAAGGAAAGACAGGATAAGGGTGAGTAAGGGAAAGAAAAGATGAGAGTGGAAAGATGTATATAGTCACCACCCACGGGGTCCAGTGATGAAACTTGGTAGTTGCAGTTTCCATGTCTGTCAGTTGAAGTGGTGACCTTGATCCATTGGGGGTGAAGGAGGGAAGCCCCCACACTTCAAGAAGTTATGAGTTATTATATCCATGGGTAGTGTCACAGGCCATGCCACAAGCCTCCAACATCTCCTGGGCCTGCACAGAGTTCCTGTGTGGGGCCTGGTAAAAGGGTTTTTCCTGCCTTTCAAGATTGGCAGAGGGGGGATGGGCTTTGATGGGCCATCAGAGGTATAATGCAAAAGTCCTGCAGAAGCCTGCAATAGTCCCTTGGTAATCCTAGAATGCATAAATCATTAACCGTTTCAGTCTCTGACAACAGGTCACCAGTGATGTTACCCCATTCACTATTACCCTTTGTGCTTGACCCATCGCACCTTCCTCAAAAATCAGAAAAGATTGGAAAAAACATTTTCAAAAAGACAATATTCTCTTGTAATTGCTTCCCAACAGGAACTAATGGCATGCTGTAACCATAACAGGACCAAGATTGCAGCTGCACATTGTAGGAAACCTGTAGATACAGGTGTCTGCTTTTAAAAGCATCACACCACACTGTGCATATACAACTGTTTTCCACAAGAAAGGGGTTTCTGTGGAAAAACTGCAGGTGAAATTGTAAATTTAAGCCAACAAAGTTAACCCTCCAATGTGACAATATTGTTGCACTGTTCGGTCTACTTGATATGACTGTTCAGAATAATGTATTTTATGTAGAATTTATACATGACATGGTAATAAATGCTCTATTGATTTAATTTTTATAAACTTCCATGCCAACAGGAACTAACTGAAGGAGACAGGATGAATGAAACTCTCTAACATTATTTTTTTTAATATTAGGGAGTAGGCATTACTTTATTCCGACCAGAGTGCATAGCGGATAACTCCAGCCACACACACCACTTCTAAAACTTCTCACTTATCTATACATTTTTAGCAAACAAAGAAATTTGTGACAGTAAATCTGCATTATATGAGAAACTGTGGTTTAAACATGTTTCAAAATGGCTTTTTTTATTTCTGCAAAGTCACTGCTCCTTCTTCCTGACACCCTCTGTGAAGGACTCTTATCTCCCATGCAGGAGTGTCCTGGGAAGATGTCCTGAGGTCTTCTCATTGGACCTTGTTAACCCCTTCCTATTGGTTGTTAACCCCTTCCTGTGATTGGGTGTTCCTGTAAACCCCTTGAGACTTGTAGTTGGTTACTCTGTGAATCCTCCTAACCCTATAAATGTAACCCCCCCAACAATAAACTCTCTCTTGCCTCCTCTCCACGTCCTGTGTGCTGTCTCTGTGGCTGCCATGGGACCTCGTGGGTGGAGGGAGGGGAGAGCACCTCTCCCCTCCAGGCTCAGGACCTGAAGAAACCCCTGGTGCTGGAGTTCCCCCTCCCTATCCACCTCAAACCGTTGGAGGAACCCCACGATGGGAGGAAACGCCAGCCAGAGAAATTAATGTTCATGGATTCTAAATTACATAATTCTCTTCATTAATTAGTATTCTATCCTCTATTGGTTATTGATTTCTCACTTTTCATGCTAATTAGTCCACTTTTTCAGTCCTTTTATCACCTTTTTCCAGACAGGGAGTCTCCAGCACATGCTGGATCATCTTTGTTAGTCCCTTCTTTATCTTCTGGTTACTCCAACATGGCTTTGGAGGGCTATAAATTCTAGTCCAGGTGTCCAGCCTTTAACTCCCTTTGGCTTTGTTCACTGAAGCTTATCAGGGTTAGTTTAGCAGAACTTAAAGTTTCAGTGATTAATAATCAAATTAACAATGACAGCCTGTGAAAAGAAACATAGCTATGGGCTGACTAAAGTGGAAAATTACACTACTTAAGATTAATACAGTGCTTATGGTTAATTAAAACCATTAATTAGAAAAATAATTGGGAAAGTTATATAATTTCCAACACATGTAGTGCATTTTG